CTTAAATGGCAACTTTCAAAAGGCGGGGAGGATGAACAACCTGTTTCTATAGACTTCACATGCTTTTCCTTTAAGTTTTAAAATAATATTATTCAGGATTAAAGATAGCAACCATAAATGAAGAGCAGTCAGTCAAATGTCAAGATGCTGTCAGATTCTATTATTCTCTAAGATGGAAATGATCACAACATTCTTAGGGAACCAAGAACTTTGTTTAGCGGTATACCAGATGCTTAATATATTGAAGGACAGAAGTTCATTTCAAAAGATCTCAGATTCCAACACGAAGAAATATCTCTGTTTTGGAGTTCAGTGCCACCGGTATGCAGATGACACCCAGCTATTTTTTCTGTTCAACTGCTCTTGTTCTAAACTTGTATCCGGCATCAGTAATGAACTGGATGAAGGTAAACAGATTGAAAATTAACAGATTGAAAATCAATCCTGGCAAGATGGACATACCCCTAGTCAGTCAAAAGGCTGATCAGGGAACAGGGATACCCAGGTCTCCGCCATGACTAGGAGTGCTTTTACACGGGGAATGTTAGTGCACCAGCTGCACTTGTTTCCTGAGATATCTGATTTGGCTACAGTAACATGTGCCTTAGTTACATTCCATTTGGATACCTGCAACGTATGTGTAAGGTGATGTTTGAAGAATGATTGGAAACTTCAGATGGTTGATGCTTGAAGAATGATTGGAAACTTCAGATGGTGGAAAATGCTATGATTGGACTGTTGAACCGGTTACAAGGTGTACACAGTACAACTTCCCTGTTAAAGCAGCTTCACAGGCTGCCATCCCATTTCCAAGCCCAATTCAGAGCCCTAGTTATGATCTACAAAACCATATACAGTTTGGGTCCAGAGTACCTGACAAATTCTGTCTCCTCATACATAATGCTCTTCAGCCTTAAGATCTCCCGTATCACACTTTGTATAAATAAAGTATAAAAATAATTACAAGGGTGGTATAAGAATTGTAACTCTGAAAATGTGAGTTGTGAGTTTAAAAATGTACAGAACATTTACCTCATAAGTACATTTGATATGGACCCAAGAGAGAGCCTTTCAGTAGCTGCTTCCAGGTTGTGGAATGCCCTCCTTCAGGAGGCTACGTTAGCTTCCTCCCTCCTGTCCTTTGGGAACATGTAAAAACCTTTCTTTTAAGACAGTTAATATCAAATTTTAACATGAGCTAGATGCCCTTTGGTCACTCTTTTATTTATTTTTTTCTCTTTTGAACGCTAACATGAAAAGCAATGACAACCTACAGTCCACGGGTGTATAGCTCCAGCATGTTTTAAGATGCTTAGCGTTAGGGATTGTGGCGTTCACCCTTGTGGCCCCTGCTTATTGTGCCCTCACAAAGGCTCACATCCTTTTCTCTACTTGCTGCCACCACTTTGTCGCATCCACCCAGTGTCCTTTGTTTATTTTCCCTTAAACACCCTTAAACACCCTCTGGATGTGTTTCCTCACTTCATGCTGACACCAGGTAGTATTCCCTCAATGCTAAATAGAGAGATCTTAGACATGTGCTGCCAATAGAACAGAGTTATTGATATTACAGATGTTATGCCAATCACAGGAGAAAATCACAGATGTTTACGAGTGTTCTTTAAATATCATTTGCTTTCACGTTGGTTTGGATGTTTATTTATTAACTGTTACAATTTTCTTTTCTATTATCTCCAGCATTCCAACTTTTCAATCTCTGTCCTAACTTTCTCAATTCAGTCTCCTAACTCTCTCTCTTCAATTCCCTATCTCAAAACCTCTTTTCTCCAACTCTTTTCCCCAACTGCTTAACTAACTGTCTCTGTCCTTTTGGTTCCGCCCCTCTTGTCCTCTCATAGGCTCCTACCCGTGAGTTCATTATGATGGACAGGCATGATGTGGGGGTTCCACCACAGGGATATATACTACTTTTGGACAAAAGGAATTGTAACATGGTTACTTGTGTTTTTGCTGAATGATTATGGGGTGAGTTAAAAAGCCTTGAGGCCTTAATAAGATAGAACAGCACCCCACAGGTATCTTGTGTTAACACTGGCATTTATGCCTCACTATGGCAAGTTCTTAAAGAAATGGGAGTGCCTGACCAGCTTATCTATCTCCTGAGAAATCTATACTGTACATGGAACAGGAAGCAACAGTTAGAACTGGATATGGAACAATGGATTGGTTCAAATTTGAGAAAGGAGTATGACAAGGCTGTATATTGTCTCCTTGCTTATTTAACTTCTGTGCAGAATACATCAGGCGAAAGGCTGAAGCTGAGGCTCCAATACTTTGGCCCTCTCATGAGAAGAGAAGACTCCCTGGAAAAGACCCTGATGTTGGGAAAGTGGGAAGGCAAGAAGAGAAGGGGACGACAGAGGACGAGATGGATGGACAGTGTCATCAAAGCTACCAACATGAATTTGACCAAACTCTGGGAGACAGTGGAAGACAGGAGGGCCTGGCGTGCTTTGGTCCATGGGGTTACGAAGAGTCAGACACAACTAAACAACAACAACAACAAATTAGAATAAGTCAGGAAGATGAAGGAGATAATGTTTTCCCTTAGAAATGAATCTTCCTTGCCTTTCTTGCTGCAAAGTTTGCCAGCACAATCATGAAAGTCTTGCGGCTGCAGCACTATTAATTTGACAATGAGGAAGACCAGAGGCGAAAAGGGAAAGGACAGAAAACAAAAACAGGCTGCATGAACTGGCTTTTAAAGGAGGAATCAAAGACAACTGTGACCAAGGCCCTTTTAACGTCCTTTACTCACTCCCTTCCTGCTGTTTGCCTTAGGAAACTGACTAGAACTTTCTTCTGGTAGAAAGAAATGGGAGAGAAATAAAATTAAAGCTGCTTGCCCAACTCTGCATATTGTCATTGGTGCCCTTCTGTCCTGCCTGCACCATTCAATCTCTGACCTGGCTTTCTCATTTGTGTTCCCCATTCACAAGGATGGGTTTTCATGGAAAACCAAAAATGTACAGCTACCATACACAATGAAGAGCCACGTCGGAATATCTGCAAAAGGGCACACGGTGGGTTGGCACTGATGTTTGTGCCCTTTGTCCAGGCACAGAGTGAGTCAAGGGAGCTATGCGTATCCCTACTCAGAATCACAGGGTTCAATTGTGTACATTGCAGTATTTAAGCAAATCATAGTTACATAATAATATTTTTAAACCTTGAAATATACTAGTTAACCATGCAGGCTTCATGGTTGAGTTCATTATCCAACGAGGAGCACACTGCTGAAGGACCCATCTACAATTTATTGATATCTACAGCAAGCAACTGTCCAAAGCCAGCACGTACACTATAACAGTGGTCCTCAACCTTGGGCCTCCAGATGTTCTTGGACTTCAACTCCCAGAAATCTTGGCCAGCAGAGGTGGTGGTGAAGGCTTCTGGGAGTTGTTGTCCAAGAACACCTGGAGGCCCAAGGTTGGTGACCACTGCCCTGTAAGTAGAGTGCACTTCCTCCTTTGAAGGAAACCACAAAGCATTTGAATAAGTGTCAGCCCGGGCCTTTAAAATGAACTAAGAAAACAATCAATGCAACCACCTACAATACTACAAGAGCAAGCTCTATTCCTCTTTGTCTTATCCTCTGTTGCCTGTTTGAAACAAATGTGTTTTTATACCACTGACGTCCCAACACCAACACCCATTATTTTGAAATGAACGATCCACAATTTGGTGAGAGGTTACATAAAATGTCGGTCATGTATAAACAAGAACGTCTTTTAAATTTCAGAACTCCAGTGTGTAAACAATATGACAGGACTCAACCTGGAAAGTTCAAAGAGACTTCTGTTTCTGCTTTGTATATTTTTAATCACACTTAACGCAGCTGCAAGGATTTCCAATAACATGTTTGTCACAAGTAATGAACTATGTGACATTCCATCTCTGTATCTGACAATCAGTCACAATGTCTCAAACATGTTTAAACCATAATGCCACACATGGCTTGGGTTAAGTGACTGTGGGACTACCCTGTTTTGTGTTTCAGTAATATAGATATTTGGATTAAAGCATGAAGCTTTGTCATGCAACAAGTGTATGGCCACACTACTCTAAAATCAACATTTTAACCACAACATTTGGTAATCTACGACAGTTAGAAACTAACAATCTGATCATTTGGGCAGGCTGGTGCAAAAATTTCTAGGCTGCCTTCTGTACAGGGGGAAAGTACTCTGAATTGCTTGGTAGATTAAGTAGCTTTAACCACAGAGGTGAAAGGTTAATATATACTACTGCTGTATTGATACCTGGGTCCTCTCACTCATTCTTGCACTTGTCTTTGAAAAACAAAAATGGTTCAATTATTCCGCATGGTATCAACTCTCATCCTACACCATTTCCTCACGTAGCTGTCATAAAAGTGGTAAACTTGTTTCTCACTTGGACTACCTCAGACTGCAAGTAGGCAGGCCTCAAATGTCAGACCAATCCTCCATATAAAACCAACGAACACAGGAAATAAGGAATTGGGGAGAAGCCTGCAGTAGACTCCACTCTCCTGCCACCAATAAAGGTGTTAAGAGCACCACAACTATCCTCAAAAGTAAAATGCCTTCCTTATTCAATATGGAGTTCCAAATTAAACATATACTTCTGCATGATGACCACAGCTGGCATGTTTACTTGCACATACAGTAGTTATTGCTATTGTTTATTTTATTCATCTGAAGGATTCCAAGCAAAATTACCCAAGGATACTGCATTTACTGTATATTTAAAATAATAAACCCAATTTAGTAGTGTTGCAAAGATCTGTTTTAATGTAAATTATGAACACTGTAGTTCTATTCAGTTATTCTAAGAAGTATGACTTATAATTGGAACAGATTTATTAATACATATTTTACTCAGATGCTTCATTCTTGAACTTGTTTTTAATATTGGGGAAAATAGTTTCTATTACTTGTTTTAGGTTGTCGAAGAAACATTTGCATCACTAGATGAAGTAACAGGTCCACACTTACCCTTGTGTGGGTGCGAATGTGCATTTTCAATCCATCATTCTTGCTGAAAGCTTTGTCACAGTAAGGACACTGGTAAGGCCGTTCACCTAAAAATTAGAAAAGCATCAGGGTACCTCATACATCCTCATTTTCCCACTGAACTCAATGTGGCACCCAGAGGATTTCCAAATGTTGTCCCAATCAGCCTCGTGGCACAGTGGTTAAAAAACGCTGTACTGCAGCTAAAACTGTGCTCACGACCTGGGGTTCAAATCCCAGGTAGCCAGCTCAAGGTTGACTCAGCCTTCCATCCTTCCGAGGTCGGTAAAATGAGTACCCAGCTTGCTGGGGGGGCAATGTGTAGCCTGTATAATTAAAAAATTGTAAACCGCCCGGAGAGTGCTTGTAGCGCTATGGGGCGGTATATAAGTCCAATAAATAAATAAATAAATAAATAAATAAATAAATAATGATCAGACCCACAATTCCTTAGTTTCAACAAGGTTTTTAAAACGCATGCCTTCAAACCCATTACCTGGGTCTGAAAAAAATATGGGCTAAAGAAGAGAAAATAATGGTAAGAAGTTTACAGGAGCGTAGCATGTGCATGGGTTAAAGAGACACATTCCTGAAATCAAGTGTTAATATTCACTTCATACAATAAAGGGTGTGGTCCCAACAACCTGCTGATTTCATGGGAAAGATCTGCAAAATAGGCACGAGTCACACAGTCATATTTGTGCATGCACCCCTCTTGTGTACAAATGTGCCACAGGGTAGATATTCTCATGATACTTTCCGCATATGTGATGTAGAGATCTGACACATCTAAATTTAAGCCAACCACACACATAAGAAATAAAAGAACAGGAAGATCTGCATCATACAGCACAGGATCAAAAGAACAGATGCTTCACGTTTTTCTAACAAGATATTACTATGATGATCCATCCCATGCTCCTGGTGACAACAGTACTGGCTAGGGTGATTTTTATTATGGTCAGTTTATGGTCCCTTTTATGAGGCGTCATTAACTGTTCTCAAAGTACAGTATGTTTTCCTGACCTCACAGCTGTTCATCATTAGAGCCATCTGGGTGTCACCATCCAATTTAATTACCTCAATCCATTCTATTCATGTGTCCCATTTAACTAAAAGCAGATCAACTAAATTTTGCCGCTGTGGGTCCTGCTGTGTAACTTCTAGTAGACCTCTTTATTAGGTCGCAGCCTATGGTAACCCTCCACCCAAATCAAAGCTGGTATCACTTAAAGCAACACAATACAAAACTCACCACTCTATATTCATGTCAGATGGACAGTACAGTCTCTGGGAACTTTTGTTCTATTTTGAAAAAAAAACAAGGTCAAGGGACTTGCACAAGGCTGCTGATAGGACTAATGCTGAAAAGGCCCATTGTAACTCAGACAACTACAACTAAAACAGCTTACTTCATTCCCCCCTCATTTTCTTCCCATTATTCTTTCATTTCCCTTCCCTCAAATTTTGGGTTGTATAGTACCTGTAGGTATTGTGTGTGTATCAACTCTTATCTGATATATGTGAGATTTTATATGCTGTCCAAAACCAATCAACCAACTAACCAAACTTGGGAAACCAGTTCTTCAAGTGTTACAAAATTCAAAGCATGACAGAGGTCCCAATTATACAGGACTTCATTGGCCTATCCCAGTCTGAAGTCAAATTGTGTTGCATTTTCTCTGCACTGGCATTCCCAGTCAATATGGAGAGATTGATCATGGAAGAGGCAGAGCTGAAGCGTGTCTCCCTCTCTCCTTACTCAGAACTCTGCAGTCCAAAGAGACCTACAAATTACAAATGCCATGCATAACCCATCTAGGATGCTAAAAGTGAAATTGGTTTTCTCCACCCTTGAAAATCAAAGCTTAGAAAAGCCAATTTTGGGGGAGCTCCACCTTCAGAATCCCCTTAGTCAACATGGCCACCTTCCAGAAAATGTATAGGCTCAAGGCCCTACACCATATGGATTTAATCTGGAAGACAGCAATTACATGTCTATCTGCCCTTTGCTCTTTTCATCTTAAAAAGAAAACAAAACATTTTTGCACATGCTACCCTGATTATTCTACAGGATTACTCCATCCTTTGGACATCTAATCTACCACCATTTTTTCATGTTATTTTATTTTTCGTTTATTTTATGGTATTTTTGTTTTGCACCTTTATATTTTATGGATGTTGTTGAGGTATTTTTTGTGATTATGTTATTGTTATTGTTTAGTTGTTGCAAACCATCCAGAGTGGCCTTGGCTGCCAGAGTGGCCTTGGCTGCCACATCCATCCATCCATCCATCCATCCATCCATCCATCCATCCATCCATCCATCCATCCATCCATCCATCCATCCATCCATCCATCCATCAACCAACCCTTTGCTTTCTTAAAATCTCGCCTTCATTCGTAGGATTTATTTGAAATTCCAAATTTGTTACTGAGATGGGGAAAAGCTTACCAGTTTTAAATGTATCTTTGTTATATCACTCACTTATTTTTCCTACACAATTAATTAGTATTGAAAAATACCTTTCTAGGATCTAATCTATTTGTTTGCAGAATATGGAAGCAACATGTTACAAATAACACATAGAGCAGTACGGCAATGGGACCAATTACCTCAGCAGGTGATGAGTGCTTCAACACTGGAGGCGTTAAAGATAAATTTAGACAACCACCTGACAGATATCATTTGATTTGGATTCCTGCATTGAGCAGGATAATGAGTAATAATAATGAGTAATAGTAATAATTATTACTATAATATTGAGTATTATAGTAATAGTAGTTATTATCCAGGGATAACAAGTAACAAGCAACAAATTACTTTTTAAAAAAGTAATCAGAACATGTTGATTTTGCAATGATATTTTCAAGCTCTGCTTGTTTGCAGTGGTGTTGACTTCAAGCACACACACACACACACACAGGGCCTTTATTAGGCCAGCTATACTTCTGATGCTATTGGGAATAAAGCCACATGAAGAAACAAAGGCGGGAGAGGAAATGCTGGCATAGTTTCCTCCCATTCCAATCATCCTGCCTTAGCTCATTAACTCTCAGTAAAGATCTGGATAAATATTTTTTAACAAGGACTGCAAGCTGTCCCAAGTGCTCTGATTTACAAATTTCACATCTGTTTGAAATGTGACACTATCTTTCATGACCCCCAATGTCACTAATTCATGCTGTCATCCTTTGGACACTGCAGGAGCTGTTGGGGCTCAACCATTTAATTAATCCAGTTGACATTTTTATGTTTTGAGGCCTTTGCCTTTCAAGGGGAAAGTTTGGAAAGGTTTGCAAGCAGATGAGTGCTGACAGGTTGGCACAGAGACCCCTCCCTTCATTCTTTGTTTACAGTGAAGAGCTTCGTTTTAAAGGACAAGCTTAGGGCAGATGTGAAAGCTGTTCACAGTGTCCTTCATAAATTAATCTTAATATTTATAGCTCTTAAATGATATGGCTTTGATCTTAGGTTGCTCCTTTATTGATCTAAGTGGGGGAAAATATGCCCTCTCTGTTTACAGTTCCCTGTACCAAGGCCCAAGCATTATTTCATTGTGCCTTGCACGAACGATTCAACATACCTCTCTCACTCTATATAAACTCATCCTATCCATACAATCTCAGAAGCCATGCAATTTATTTTAATTCTGAAATTACTTATATATTCTTAATTTCTATAAAAAATAGAGATGCGCCTATGCTATATTTATGAATAATAACATCTAATTTCACAGAAACAATGAAATACATTTCTGTAAACATCCTCAAGCAGGATTTAAAGTTTTTATATATTATGTTTTTTGCCTGGGTCAGTCATTTCATGAAACATAATCACTCTTGGAAATAGCAAGGCTTTGGGGCTGTAGAGGGTGTCTACACAGATAATGACAAGGTTCTGCTGAAGAGAGAAACAGACTGAATATTGAGATTAGCCCCCAGTTGGAATGAGGAACTTGAGTTTGTGCCTCTTCTCTAGCAGGATCGTTATTGGCACACACTCCATAAGTCCTACATATAATCAACACCTGGATTTGTCTCCATGACCTGAAAATATCTGCAGTGTCATTAGCAGTTTTGTGGGGTTGGGAAGACCCACAAGATCTTCATTACATATTGGCCAACAATCCTGTTCTTAGTATCGAAAACGGCACAAAATTAGGCCAGCTGAATCAATGGGGATTCATTAAGTCAGCTCCTCTGGATGTTGGACCTATGCTAAACTAAGTCGCATTTATAGTAGGCCCATTTGAAACAGGGGAGGTGACTCACCAAATCTCCATTGATTCAATGGGTCTTCACTAGTATGATTTACTACACTAAGCAACATGATTTTCACCATTGTTAAACTCTAGGTATGTAGTAATTATGATGGCTGTATAGGTCATTAAAGTGTATTCAGTAATATGTACTACTGATATTCCACCTCTCTAAACAAGAAAAGTATTGGCTTACATAGTTGTATATAATGTATACATGATTTTAACATGTCCAGCAGAATGGTCTCTGAATGATGTTATATAATAAACAATGCACTGTCGTTCTTTGCTTCTTTTGAATAAACCTATGGAGGACCACAGACTGATCTGTCCAAAATGCATCCGGCAGTTTGTAAAGCACGATAAATCATTAAAAAAAAACATCCTGAGACTTTATGCCTCTCCTTTATATTTGGCTCTGCTGGATGTTCCCAGTTCCTTTTGGTGTTAGTAATAGGCATTGCATGTGGACCAGGTGCTCTGGACTTTGGGGCTCTCATAAAGGGTAGCCTTCCCCCAATGGGTGTGTGTGTCTCATCCTGTACCATATCCCACAGAATTACCAACAATAATCACCTGGAACAAATTACCTAGCGCACAGGATGCAGTGGGAAAGGCTCACTCAATGAAGGTAAATTTCATTAATGAAGTAATTGTCAGAAGATGTCTGGAGAAGGCAACTCTGCCATCTGATAACATAATGTTATGCTTGGTATGGCATGCCATACATCATCCATCTGTCATGTTCTAATTATTTTGTTATTTGGCTTATGATTTTATCAACAGAAAATGTGAGCTGCTATCTA